GTACTCAGTAAAAAAATTACAAAAGAGCAAAATCGGTTTTTTTTCAATCCAGAATGCGACATCTAGCTTTATACATAGGTATGTATAGTCCAGGGCCTCAATACATCACAGTGACTGATTCCATGATTGCCACAGACAGTAGTTCTGTTACATCAGGCATCTACTTAAATATCTTTCAAAGTACAGCATTTAAAAATATTTTGGTCGCTCCATAAACATCAGATATAGTATCAAACTTTTAACTGTTTATTTAGACTGATGAACAGATCAGTAAAATACACAGATTCACAAAAAAAGAAAAGAAAAAAAAAAGTGTAAAATCAACAGATAATGAAGCAACACTACTGGAGTCCATACAGCGTCACAGACAACTTTAAAGTTAAGGCACACTAGCGATATAAGATGGCTCACTGTGGAAAAGCGTCAAATTCAAGCTTATTTAATCCTTTATATAAACTTTTTTTCAAACATAAATGAACCTAGCCTAACATAACCTAAAGTAGTTTTGGTTAAGTCAAATTTGGTCATTTTATATCACGTGAAATTAATGGCCCTGTAAGTCTATTCACAATAATATGCAGTACATTTTTTAAATGGCTACTTAGCTTGTGTGTGACGTCTACCATACACACACTGACACCATGAAAACATCTTATTGCATTATGCAGTAACCATACCATCATTAAACTTTTATATTAGTATCAATTTTCTAAGTTCTGTAATCAGTTCAATGGTAAAGTGGTTTTAAAGTGTATTATTTATAATTAAAGTCACTTGCAGAATACTGACTACAAGACTCAATCAAATTACCAATTACAGCTTCAAAAATTCTGGACACTACATCTTCAGAATGACATACAGGTACTGTACCACATTATCAGCATGGTGATAAGTGTACAATTTTTACCATGTATGTATTATAGTCATGTTCTACATTACACTGCAATGTGGATTCACAACTTAAGAACTAACACTGAGTCAAGGATGCCACTACAGGGGCAGAGAGGTGTTGCTTTTTATGGTTACACAGTACTCATTACATAAAAAAACAAAGTGTAAGGCATCAGAAGAGGTACAGTATATAGTACTGTTATGACAGCATTTGTATACAACACTACACGATCAGTATTACAGGACAGGAGTGCTTCGAATTACAAATCCCCGATTCAAAAAAATTCGCTAAAACAATTTTTTTTGTTCCAGCGCTTCAACATATAAACGGAAACCACGCTTTTATGAAAATATTAGTGTAATTTTTTATTGCATTGGAAGATGTTGAATTGCTGACACAAGAATCTGAGAGCATCCCATGCTGAACATGACAGTAAGCAGTGTCCTGTACTGTAGTGCAGGCTAGTGTGTGGCAACAATTATGTGCTTATGTATACATATAACATTATGAAGGTGCTACTGTATATTGATTTAAAAGTATGGCTAACTGACCACCAAATAAGAGTCAGAATTTATAACTGATTACTTCAACTTTATATGGAGGAAGAAACTGATGAATTTATGCCTCTGTTACACATATACCAACAGGAACATAGCAATGACCACAACTCAGGCCGCACACAACAGGAGGAGGAATTTGATAACGAGGATTATACACTCTGATAATCTTTATTAATATTATTATGATTAATACATAGGCTTAGAAGTATTGTTTTCCCCCCAAAAATTGCTTAAAATGTGTGCAGTATTTTTACATTTGGGGAACTTCATTTTTTTTAATACAGTATATCTCCTTTTATATAACGGTAGTCACTGGGGAAAATGGCTTCGAACTACAAAAAATTTATTTACGAAAGGTTTTTCAGGAACATAACCCTTTCATAAATCGAAGTACTCCTGTAAAATTAATACTTGATACACTGTTGAGGCAGATCATACATAGTAAATATCAGCTTACTTAAAGGCATTATTGTGTGTCATCAAATTGTAACATTTTAAAACACCGACTGTAGAGAATAACACTTCACTGAGTTTTTAATGAGTGATGGAAAAGGTGTTAAAAAAAAAAATCAATTGTGACATGAAAAGTTAGCATGACTGACCCACACACTTAACCCCTTGTGGTGATCCCTGGGTATATCCATAACCCTCAATGGCTTTTGCAGGACTTAGCAGGGAGAGGAGGAGGAGGAGGACCACAATTCCCAAAATATGGTGTAAAGTGAAGAAATAAAAGCAGACGAACCAACAGTAACAATTAAATTTGCTTGAATATTTTAAAATAAAAGGTAAATCTATTTACTACAAGTCAAATCTAATTTCTATAGTGGCAGATAATACCCCCCCACCTCTTTAGTAAGCCACAGAAAACACTGAGTTAGTTACCCTCTCTGAGAATCATCTGCTCACCGTGAGCCACAACAATTAATAAACAGTTAACTCCTCACGACCCGTGGAGGAAGCATGTTATTCAAAAAGATATAAATAATTTCTCATCTTGGACTGACACGTGATTTATTTGAAGAGCCAGTGTTATTGTGAAGGACTATCACTACATCTTAGTCTATAATGTTTGGTCCAGAACAATAGTAGTAACAAAGGCTGAAGCATCCTAGTGGGCAGTTTACTGTCTCTAACTCTTATCATTTCATATGAAAAACAAACTTCTAACAATTACTATAAAGCTACATGTCTTTTGAAAGCATATAAGGTGGTCAAGTGATATGATATCACTGATGATATGAAATTTACCTTTCTTTGTGCCCTGTACAGTACAGTACAGTACAGTAGACATACATATAAAAATCTCTCAGAAAATTCATATCTAAAAATACACAATATAAATGAGAAAAATACATGTACAAATGTATCGATGATTTGTCTTCTAAATGTGACGGCAAATATAAACACCAGTGCATCTACGAACACGATAACTCAAAAGCAGAGGCATCAACATATACTGTACTGTACACCCAGAGCTCTACTAAAATCTTATCAAAGCACCTCAGGCTATGGAGGATCACCTGCCAAGAATTCAGAGAAATCTGTCCTCTACATTCAACTCCGCTCCCTTAGTGACCTTCCTCAATTAAGACCCATTAGAAAAGAAATTTCAGTGGTCTGGCTGCTATTGAGATGCACCCCACCAACACGTCTCTACCCTCATGTACCGGAACAACTTTCTTCTACGGGGTAAACATGTGATGTACGTGGAGTTACAGACACCTGTACAGTACAAGTAAATACTGTACTGTGCAATATAAATACATTTTGACATCTACAAGATCACTCACAATGAGCAAGCGTGGCTTAGTGACCTACATTTTCACCTACACTGTAAAGAATTTTGACCCACACATAAATATAACAAGACTATAAAAGTGCAGTGCAGTGAATTATTAACCATTGTTGTCAATGCAATGCAATTACAATATAACTTATATGGACAACTTGAATACAGATTCCCTAAAAAAAAAAATTTCCACACTATTTTTTTTTTTTTTTTTTGAGGAGGGGAGGGAGAATGAGTGGGAAAGAGGGAGCATTCTGTGTATTTAACTACTGTGTCTCTCTGTTTACTTACAGCTGTCTTTCGTGTCATAAATGAGTCACAGCCACTCTTGTGGGTTGTACTTACTGAATATAACTTTGCCACTGCTTCTAGCCTTGCTATGGTGCAGGAAGGATGATGAACATAAAAGCACAGATTCTCCCTTCATTCACAGCCCAATGATCTTCCTTTCTTCTCCAGTTTATATGTGCAATTGTGCATGTGCATATAAAAATGGCTACTTCATTTTGTGCTCCCACTCACTAAAAGGCTTTGAATTAAACTAAGAGAGCGATGACTTATAAACTCATTATGAAGTGAGACAATACTTGGGGCCATCTCCTTATAGTGGCTTAATTCTTTACCAGGTTTAGTAATATAGTACTGTACAGTATAGTCCCAGTTTACGCGGATATTTTATACGCGGACGGCCATTTACGCGGCACCTGTCCAGAAGCGATAATTATTATTTACGCGGTAAATGCCATCATATACGCGGCAAGCAGCAGGGCAAGGTGCTGGGCGCTGACGTCAGACTCGCGCCGGTGACGTCGCAGACTGTGATTGGGCCACGTATCCTTACCACCCACGCGCCCTCTCCGCCGCACACCGTGATTGGTCTAGTTATCCTTGCCACCCCTGCCACCCACGCTTTCCACTACCGTGTATATTCACTCGTGCCCAGGAACCGGTTTTGTTTTTTTCTTTCTACACAATGGCTTCCGCTGGACCCCCACCACCCACGAGAAGCCCTGAACTACCTGGCCCAAGGGCAGAGGCAAGCAGTGGCTGACGAGGCTCAGTCTGTTGCTGTGGCATTGGAGAATGCAAGAGAGGCTGCACAAAGTGTTAGAGCTGCAGGCTTCTCCGAGACCACCAACGACGACATCCTGGAGGTAATGAGGCAACCTGAGGTGACTGCGGATGATATGTTGGAAGACGATGACATCAGTGAGCAGCGAGGTGTTACAGAACAACAAGAGCAAAAACTAACACATGCTGATGTGAAGGATGTCATCGAGTTAGCCGAGAGAATGAAGTTTATCCTTGCCAAAGAAACAGACAATCATCGCTACGAAGTGTTTAATAACCTTCTGTTGCAATCCCTGGAGCCCTATGTTCAGCTGTATCATGACCACATCAATGCTAGCCGTCAACAAAACATCACCGTGTTCTTCACCCGCCACAGCCAGCCCAAGTCAGTGATAGTGAGGATATGGACTTCGAGGGGTTTGACGATGAGGCCCTGCTAGCCTCTGTGGTGGATAGACAGGTGAGGGCCAATAATCTGCCCTCTCCTTCAGAACCAACCCCCCATCCCCGTGTGCCCAGCCATCTCTTCTACTAACGTAAGTGTTAAAAAACCTAATATTATTTATATTTCTCTTATATATTAATTGTGTGTGCATACCATCATAAAATTAAGATGTTATTTTTACTACACTGTACAATATTGTGTCGGCGATAGCCAAAAAAAAAGGGTAGTCTGGAGGTCGGCCCAGTCTCTATTTCAATTAATCCCATATGTTCTGTTATTTTATTTACGCGTTTCACTTTATACACGGACCTCCATGGGTTTAATTAACCGCGTAAACCAGACTATACTGTACTGTACATATTTCTATAAAAGAACAAACAATGGTTCTTTCTCAATCAGATTGATTATGAATGTATTTCTTGCATAGAAGTTTTTATTAAGTTTAAATGAACACACGCACGCACACACACATACACAGGTCTATCCATGAGTTTATGATGATTATTAATGTATTGGCCAGCTCACCAGAAGATGTGTCATCCTGACTACAACCTCCATAAACCAGTATATTATGGAATTATGAAAGTTCAAATATCTTTCCCACTGTCAACATCTTCTGTTTATTAATACTGATGCTGTCAAATTTTACTCCAAGAATAGTTGTCACCCTGGTGCTGTTTTACTGCCAATAAGGTCTTATGAATCACTACTATTGGGTAGAGGGAGATAAGTTAAACCATAGGGGGTATCAGATGTGGTAGAGGATCCTCGTGGTCACTCTCTCTCTCTCTCTCTCTCAGAAAGAAGCTTCCTCAGGGTGATGTAGTATTAAAAATATAACAATAAACTAAAGTCTGTAGAGTCAAAATCCTCTAAATACATACATACATACATACAGGAGCACACTTACACACACACACAAACTTATCCAAATATATTAAGAAATCCTTTTACTGTACAATTATATGCAGACAGTTTATATTGTGCTCAGAATAGTTCACTTACAAAATAAGCACACTGGTATAAATTGACCTGATTCATGTTGAACAAGGTGTGGAATTATATTCCATAAAGGCAGCTTATGCGGTAGTTAACGAATACATCACAATCCTCCTCACAGGAGAAGCGGCCGTTACTAGGAAGGTCAAGGTGTCTTCTGCTTGCTTAAGAAGGCAAGTCGTCTCTTGCGAATTTCTTCGACGTCTGGTTCATCATGAGTGCTGGAGGCTGGAACACAAGTAATGCTCTGTCTTATCTTGAATATGTTGAAGTAAAGGTTAAGAAACAGTTAAGATGATTAGAGTGAAAGAGGAGATAATGTTGGAGTTGGAGTGCACAGTTAAAGTGTAGCAAAAATAAAGTGAGTATTGAGGAGGTGTGCAGTGTACACAGTAAAGGAAGTATCTTTTTTTTCTTTTTCTTTTTTTTTTACAGGCATTAGCCCACCCAGGCACAGGTCACTGACCCACATTGGGACTTGGGGGTAATAATAATAATAATAATAATAATAATAATAATAATAATAATAATAATAATAATAATAATAATAATAATAATAATAATAATAATACAGTATACTCTCGATTTAACTGAATCCGATCTAACGAACTCTCGATTTGGCATTTTTTTTAGTTATTTTTCGCTCAATTTAGTGAACTAGTTCACTAAATTGAGATTAATTCCATTTATGCTCACACCTATGGAAACACCTGAGACACATGATACAGTAAACCTACTTCAGCCTACGGTGAATGTATTAAATGTATAAAAATGAAAAATAAATGATATAAAGCAATTACCAGAAAATCTGAGAAAATGGAGAGAAAATCACTCCAAACCTTTCTGCTCCGGGCCTGGCGACAAAGGTACCTGGTGTTATGAAAGACTGCACCATGTTTAGCCACATCCTCACATGGATGGTGGGAAGACCAACCGCTTGGGTAATGCTGGATTTTTCTGCTCTGGGTCTATTTATAATTATTATGCAAGCAAATATTTCTTTAAATGTACATACAATACTAAAAAAAGTAAAATAATACAGTAATAAATAAATGTAACTCCGAGTTGCACTAATGGGGTGACAGGCCTAGCCACACACACTAACAGCACTACTAAACCATTGTTTTACAACATTTGACTTTATTTTTTCTATTTTAAAATTTATTGATACAAGATGGCTCGATCTGGCTACTTTTGCACTTAGAAAACCTATCAGTGAACAAACCAGGGCATATGGAGACTCATTATACACTATTGATGTCATGAAGCTTCACACCTGCAACCACAATACATAAATTATCACGTTCGAGTGAGGAAGGGGGGGGACTGACCACGCGACCCTAACCCCCAAAAAAGGTTTCTCTTCCGTCAACACACACCAACACCACCCACACATCACGCATACACCCCTACATCACACAAACACACCCTCCAACAACCACCCACACACACACCCCAACACCCCCCTCACCCCATCACCACCCCCCACACATCCCTAACATTACACACACACACACACACCCAACAAGGGAATAAAGACAGCAAGCATAAGGAGTGAAAGTCTTATTGTATGACACATCTGCATGTGTGACTGCAAGGTAGTGAGTTAAATATTAGCTGTTGAGGAGAGCTTGGCAACACTAACTTCACCCTGTTTTGGGAAGGCTTCTCAGGAATGCTTCTTAGCCGAGAGTCCCAATTTTTTTGGTCCAAATCTTCCGAAATCCGGATTTACCGGGTCCGGATCTTGAGGGTTTACTGTATCACCTTAAAGTTTACATTCAAGAACACTTGTAGGCCTACCTGCAGCCTCTGGACTGTGATGACTGTGAGGGAGTTGGTTCTTGGTGGATGAGTATCCTGCAGAGTGATCTGATGGACTATTTTTTTCTGACTCTGTAGACAGGCTCAGTTGCAAAGCTCTTTCCAGGTCATCATCTGCCATGGTAATGATGGAGCAGTTATAACTATAACCAAGATCAGAATGAATGAATCAACAAAATGTAAGAGAAGGATTAAAAACATTATGAATTTCACAGAGCAGAAAAAGAAGGAGAGCAGTGGAATAAAACCAGGCAGATGAGTACGTCTTTGGTAATACAGTACAGTGGTCCCTCGGTTAACGAACTGTTCGATTAACGAAATTTCGGTTAACGAATTAGCTCCCATAAGGATTTTCGGTTCGATTAACGAACAAAACTTTGATTAACGAAAGCCTTACAACAAACACGTTTTGTTGTGTGCATCAGCTGATGGGCCAGTCTGCCAATACAGTAACCAGTTCTATGTTTACATTTATTTCCAGTGGAGTAAATATCAAGAAAGTTGGTCTCTTGAATATTTCTGCATTTTTTATATTAAAATTATTTGTCATTCTGTAATTTAGTTAACATATTGATAATCTATACAGAACAGGGAACAGTTTTTGTGTGCTAATCAGCTGATTGAATCATGCAACAACGATTCTCAGTTTAACTTTGTTTACAGTGGAGTGAACATCGAGTTTGTTGGTCTCTTGAATATTTTTGCATTTTTACATTAAAATTATTGGTCATTCTAAAATTTAGATGACATATTGATAATATACGTAAACAAAGCTGCCGGGAATACGACATAGGTAGCAGGCAGCTACCAAACAGGGAGGTACTACCACCTGGGAAGATATTGGAAGCATAATGTATTGTCTAATGGTAGACCCTGCTGCCATATGGCATCATGAAAATTGTGACCAAGTCCCAGGTTGCTGATCTGACTTTCTGCCTCATTTACACACAATTGCAGGGTCTCTATTGTTTCTCTTACTGTTGACAACACAACATACATAATGTACATCGTTTCTCATTCTTGATTTATTTTTCTTGTTTTTGTATTTATTTATGGTTTTTATTATTATTTTTTGCATATGTATTATTTTTATTTTTAGTACAGGTATTTTGTTATTATTTTTTAATTATTAAAATAATAATATCAACACCGTGCATGGTCTATAACACCAATGACTTATATCAACACCGTGCCATGCACTTAGAGGAAAGGTCATACCTGTAGCCTCTGGACTGTGCTGACCTAAACTCAAACGAATAGCTGCCTCCAGGTACTCTTCCTCATGGGAAGGTCCTGCCACAATCTGATTTGTTGGGGTAGCTTGTTCCCCCTCACTAGATAGGCTCAGCTGCAGGGCCTTCTCCAAGTCATCTGATGCAGGAATAAAGTGAAACATGTAAAAAGAACAAAGTAATGCTCACTAAATACATGACTAATATGGGGAAGGGATTCAGAAATTCCTGGATGGCAAGAAGTTAACAAAACACATTCCCATGGTTCCAAACACTGTATGGGGGAATAAGATCCTGTTTATTACATGATGTTTAGGAGTCACACACTCACTCTTCCAGTCTTTCTCTTAATATACACAGTAGTGTCACAAATATAGATCGACCACAATTTACAAGGATTCACAGTTATGAGAAAATTTTTATTTATCCCAAGCTTTGATTTATGGATAAACTTTTCAGAAAAAAAAAACATTTGTAATAATGAAAATACACTGCTTGGTTCTTTTTATCAATTACAGTACTGAACCAGTATGATTACTTATTTCCATAACTTGTCTAATTACTCTAAAAATAAGCTTTCATTGTGTCACCATTCTCCTACAAACAACATATAATTTCCTCCTCAAACTTGCTTGAACAAAATTGACTCACCATTCACACAGATACTAAGCCAGTTGCCTAATTGGTCAACTCATAAGACACCCCCCCTACCAAGGGTCCAAAACTCACCATACATCTTACATGCCAGAGGTTAATGTTAGGAGGACACTCACTCGTCATCTTTTTTCTTTTCCTTTTTTACGTCTTTATTATCATGTTGTTGTTTTTTATTGTTATTATTGTTGTTTTTAGTATTTTAATTTATAAATTTTATTTATTATGAATTATTATTATTGTTATTATTATTACATTTTTGCCCCCCAGGCCCCGATGTGGGTCTGTGACCTGTGCCAGGGTGGGCTAATCCCAGTTTAAAAATAAATAAATAAATAAATAAAAAATGTTAAAAAATAAAAATTATACATAAATAGATTAATATATATACTCATCCATCTGGCCCACAGACTACCAACAACCCTGTAAGCCATTACTCTCCTACCTAACATTTAAACTTAAAACAAATTGGTGACAGGATGTCATTTGAGCCTCCAGGACAGGCAACTTGCAGAGAGAATAGTAGTACACCTTTCAACCTTAAAATCCCTACAAGACACACCTACGGTAAGTTTCATGGTGATGCCCACACTGAAATGTACTGCAGCAAGACTCCAAGTTAAGGAAGGAGTTCCAAGAAAGATTGGTGACCATAAATTCCTTGAGAAAGATTTTCAGTTATTCTTAACCCAATCTTTATCAGAGTTAATGGGGCATCACAACACCTTCAGTTAGAAATAACTGAGCTGCATTGTGACTTTGTTTTTAGGATAAGTTTTCTAGTGTTGATGAAGTACTTTGGCTCAAAAATTATGTCCTGCACATGTTCATTCTCAACTGACTGATGCCCATCTGAACACACCCCTGGAGTAACCTCTTCTGCTGTACATTAAACACAACCCTGGCATCAAAGACAGAATACAAATACAGTATGAAGCAATGAGTGTTAGGCTGAATTGGGAATATTACTGTATATGTGCAAAAGTGTGATTATGCAAAGGAGATAAGAGAGACTACGTGCATGATCTGAACAAAAGACTGTGCACCACCTAATGAATGCATCCTTACCTTCTGTAGGGGTGTGAGGCTTGTGTAGGGTGGATGCCTTTTGGAGAGACATTTGTATGGCAGCTTGTAGATCATCATGTCCCTCCACATGGGATGGTTCACCCTGGGATGAGGCAACATTAGCCAGACTGGCTGCGAGGGCTGCCTTCAAGTCACTGTCCTCGTTGCTGTTATTCCTTTCGTCTGATACCTATTTAAGTACACCTACGTTACAAGGGCTGTGTAAACTCTTTTTTTTCAGCCGTGTGAACCGTTTCCCACTAAGGTACCAGAATCAAGAGCATTACTGATTCTCACTTCATTCACTGTCAATTGTTTTCCCTCATACATCAACATAAGTTTTCCTCCCAATACAAATTCTGTTAGTTTAGTTACAAATGCAATTTCAAGCTATCATGTTCCTATTGGGGGGGGGACACAAAAATCTTTTCCTTCGCCTTCCTGACAAATCATTTTAAAGATACACTTTACCCTCATTAATTTGACAAAAAAGGGGGCTCTGGGTCACTAGAATTACCCCAAAAAATTTAATTAACCAAGTTTGGAATATTTTGACATTATTCAACAATTTCCAAATCTTTGTGTTCAATTATCCATATGATTTCTGTTCAGTTTTTGCACCTAGCGATGCCTTGGCTGCCGCATAAAATAATCAATTTATAATTACTGTACTACCTGTATCATATATATTTTTGTTTTAAATGTAAACATAGAAGATTAAAGTAAATAGTACAGTACAGTAATAAATAACTGTAACTGTGAGGTGAGCTGACAAGGCGAGATGTGAGGTGATGAAGCAGGAGGTGAGGTGACGTGATAAGACACACGGTACGCACATTAACAGCACTACGAAACCATTGTCTTATAATATTTAAATTTATCAATTCTATTTTAAAATTAATTGATACACAATGGCTCGATCTGGCTACTTTTGCACTTAGACAACTGATCAGTGAATAAACCAGGGAGTATGAGATGCATTATGCACTACAAAAAATATTTACTAAGTACTGTACTGATAAATATGCTACAATATTATTTACTAAGTGCTCTAGAGAGATCCTGTGGCAAGCACCAACTCTCCTGAGCAGTGATAACATCAGTGCTTGAGAGATAGTAAGTGCTGGCAACATTATTATGGATATCATGAACGATCAGATGTTACCGCTCTGTAAACAAGAGACTGGGAATACACAGTAATACATATCTCCGTTAGCCGGATTCCCTCAAACCCAGAACTCTCCGATAGCTGGAATTAAAACTTGCTTGGAAAATCATTCCCAAAGCCGTAATTTTCACAAATTTTTGGCTTTCAGAACAAATTTTCAGAGGTTGAAAATCGAGAGAATTTTCTAAAAATGTCTTGAATAATGAGGAAAGTTACTAAAATTATTCTGTGTGGTGCAAAATAAGGTATGTTTACACGCAAATTAATAGCTATCTTACAAGAATTCCAGCAATGCACGTTATATTCTCCTAAGTCAAGTCAGTGACATTTTATAAGCGAAAAAATGAAACCCCTGCCTTTCATAATCCTAGAGTAAGCGTTAATCTCCCCTCCTGGCTGTCGACACCCCACCTCCCAGCCAGAGGGTGAAAGTGACCTTGCCACCCCACTGTTTGTCTACTGTACTGACCCATTCATGATACAAAATTGTTTATATTTGTTTTTCATTAATTAGTAAAGATACTACTGTAATAATCCGTGCTTTGTACCCTCTATATACAATACAGTATAGTACTATGTATATACCTCATAGGTATAAAATGTCATTCAAGACATCTTCAGGTCATAAGACCCACTAATCCCCCACCCAACACTGGGTGACCTGACATTGTATCAGGTCAGGTTAGTAACGTGACCCAATAATCCCCCACAGCTCCATGGGAGTGGAGAATAACAGTCTTTGCTGTAACACAACGCTTTATTCATGCCCATATCATATAGATTTTTTATTTTTAAATATACTATTTAACAAAACTTTTAGATAAACTATTCTGGATTATTATTATAGAAAAGAAAAGTTTCTAACTTAATTAGAACTGTATTTATAGATTCCAGTAGTTTAGACTCAAGGAAAACATCTCCAGCACCTAGAAACATTCTGGGGTATTATTGGGCTAGTGTCCGTCTGTGCAAGAGGTTTAGTTTAGAGCCAGTGGTTCCCAACCTTTTTCCTAGCGACCCCACCCAATCATGCACTTCTAGCCATGACTGCGACATAAACTTTACAACACATAAAGTTCACCGCCGGTGCCACAACTTAGCACAGAGAAACTGTATCACGTTGTTTTGTGAAACGAGATAAGAACTGTGCACACAAATTTTTAAATGTAGAACAAAAACTTTCACTTTTATCATTATATTATATGAGGCATTGAACTCATACACAGGAATATTTGATATAGTGTTTTTTCAAGTGAATGTATCAGGCCATCAGGGCCAGTCCGCATGGGATAATGATGCGTCCCGACACATTTTTCCGGGACAACGGGACAAGGCAGTGAAATTATTGACGACCTAGCAACCTTAGTACGTACAGTATAATAATAAAAAATCAAATCCCTCTAAATAATAAAACTTTATTTTCCACTCAAACAACATGGTAGAGAACTGCATGACAAAACCAAAACTCAATAAATAACAAAGATGAAGACCCAACAAATACTTCTAAGAATTGGGAATTCAATCTTGATCTTTTAAAACTATTTTGACCTTAAATATTACCCACTTGACACCATTCCTTTAACTAAGTCTCAAATGCCATAATGAGAACACTTTCCCCAGTGACATCGTATCTTTACCCAGATCTACAATATGACAGGTCCTGCTAGACACTACCTTAACCTAAAAGTGTTGTGGAGAAACGTTTCATCATCCACTTGTCACACAGAACTTTTGTGTGCTGCTACACTCAGCTATTTGTAGAGTTCAAACATGATCAAAAGTTCACTTCTTGATATTCATGATAAAGTTATGTTAAAGTCATCTATTTCTTGCCTTAAACCTCTTCAATAAAACTTCTAACTTAAATCTACCTGAAGCTTCTCAAGTGTGCACTCATTTAATAACTAATGCTTCTATCTACCTGTCACTCTCAGCCCTTCACCAGCACATGTAATAGAAAAGTTCATATCAGCTGACACAAAGTAGCAATCACTCTACATATGAAAACTAGCATGACATAACCTAACTCAACCTTATCTAATGAATGTAAGGTTCCATACCTCAGAGAGCAGCCTGGGTTTGGTGGTCTGTTGTGCTGGGTGAAGACGAAGTGTCTCATCTGCCTCAGATGGAGGCAGCTTACCATCTACCACAAATATTGAATAACCTGTAGAGCAAAGATTAAAATTCTTACTCAAGTTAAGTCTGAACTGACGATAAAAAACTTATGATAGCTATAAGCATATACCATTCCCCACTTAGCATAGTGATAACAGTACCTGAAATGTGATATACTGTACAGTACAGTATACTGTACTGTGCTTGAATTTAATAATATTCCTCCAAACCCATCTGGTCAATGCATTAAACTTATACTGGTACAATTGCCCAAATCAATGATGTAACGATATCCAGAAATTTTCAATATGAAAGTGGTACAGTACCTGCATATGGCAACTACAGTACCTGTCGCTTTATTTTTTCTTGGCAGATCGCAATTTTGGGAATAGTAACAGAAATTAATTAATAAATGCTAAAACAGTTTCTCATGAGAATAATGTTTGAACAAATCATGTAGTTATAATTTTAGTATACAGTAAACCCTCCAGTTTGGCGACTAATCAGTGCCGAAAAAACCTTGCCAAACCAGAGGGATTAATCCAATGGGAAAAAAGCCTAACTGGTACCGAAGGGCCAGCCAAAGTCTTTATTTTTTCCTATTTTACCCACATATAACCTATATTTTATTACTGAAAGAGAATGAATAATTAGTTAATCAACATAAACATAGAAAACCAACCTTAAAATTTAAGTTGAGGAGTTTAATTTACACTAAGCTGGTATCCAAGTACAGTTATATCCCTGTGAGTCAGAACAACTGGTGTAGAGCACTTCTGGGGATGAGAGATTTCCGGCTAACCAGACGACTTTCTCAACCCCGGAATCTTTTCCGGTTACTGGGAAAAGTTTCCGAGTGCCTAATCTAGACATCTTGCACACACAGACACTAGCCCATTCCCCAGAATGTTTCTGGGTGCTGGGGATGTTTTCCTTGAGTCTAAACTACCAGAGTCTGTAAATGCAGTTCTAGTTAAGTTAGAAACTCCATTTCATTACTAAAATAATCTAGAATACATGAAATATTTGAGGAACAAGCAAAATATCACCATGACTTCCTCCATAAAGGAGCACAGCATTCAAGTGAGTGGATGGAAAAGGCAAACCTGATCCCTTGAGTTACAAACCAGAGAATGCTCCACCACCTCATACACTTCCCCCTTGTGAAACAGGTAACAGTGATAATTATATCACCCCCAAGCAGACAGGCGAGATAGGGTCTAGTTTATCCAGGTTCACGTTTGAATGAAGTTCAGTTTAACAGGGGCTGAGTCACTGCTTCATGGGGTGAAGACTACAGTGCCAACTACTATTGAATCTTGGTCACATTAACAAAATGATATAACAAACTAAATATCTTTCTTACCTTGAATGTTACAACTAAAAATGTGGTAACCCTCACAAACTATCCTAAAAGATGTCACAAATGGGACACATAATTGTCTCAACAATACAGTAGAAAGTCAAAACCTATGTGAGTCCTATCTTCAAGAAGGGAAATCGTCACTCCACGAATATCTACAGACCAGTGAGCCTGACCGGCATTACAAGAGATGCCATGTTGGAACATCTACTACGAAACAACCTTGTAAAGGATTGCTAATACGGTTTTATGCCAGGGCGCTCCTGCTTAACACAATTGCTCAAGGTATTGGATATTTGGACCCATATTCTGGAACGGGTGGTAATATCGACAATATATACCTAGATTTTGCCAAGGCTTTTGACAGCGTACCTCATGAAAGGCTAAAAATGAACTGGAAGGGTGCGGGATTCAGAGAAATGTCCTAGCGTGAATCGGAGACTTTCTCCATGACCGCAAGCAGTGTGTGGTGATTAATGACATGAAATCATCATGTGTACCCGTCACAAGAGGGTACCACAGGGCAGTGTACTGGGCCAGCTGCTGTTTGTTTGCTTCATAAATGACATGACTGATGCTGTAACTCCTCCATACAAATGTTTGCGGATGACACCAAGTTATTTCGGGAAATCAAGAACCAAGCGGACTGTGAAGAGCTGCAGAAGGATCTCTGTGAGCTTCAAGAGTTGTCGAAGAAATGGCTGCTGAGATACAATGTCACAAAGTGTAAGAGGATGCACCTGGGGCGTACCAACGGTAAGGAGGCGTATCATATGTCCCAACGGGATGAAGAAACTGCACTATTTGAGACTCAATGTGAGAAGGACCTAGGTGTGTATGTTGACAATGAGCTGAAGTTCTTGGGCCATTGCAAGAAGAAGGTGAATCAGGCAACTAAATTATTAGGTCTTATAAGAAGGTCGTTCAGGTATCTAGACGGTCCGTGCCTCGTAACGACCTTCAAGAGTGAGGTGCTTCCCAGTCTGGAGTACTGTCACCCCATCTGGTCCCCAAAATATGCTAGGGACTGTCAATTGATTGAAAATGTCCAAAGGAGGGCCACCAGCTGGCGGACGCTCGCCCCTCAAGGAGTCACAGCTTAAAATTGAAGAATCCGCAAGTCCAGAAAACTGTGAGGGGAAACTTTTTCGGAGTGAAAGTTGTGAACTCTTGGAACAATCTACCAGAAAGTGTTGTGACGGCACCGAGTGTAAGCTCTTTCAAGACAAGACTTGACAAGCACTGGGGCAGGTTCAGATACATTCAGGAGCCAGTGCATGCCCAGTGCTTGCCAACAGTGCATAATAGAGATGTAACCGATAGCCCAAGCGGCTAACGAGCTGATCATTGGTGAAGAGGATAAAAGTAAAAGAGTAAAAAAAAATTGAGTGGTTAACTCCAGACTCAATGTGCAAATAGAAGGTAAGTCCAGAAATTTGAGTAGAGGGCAGGACACTGACCCACATCGGGACCAGGGGGAGCAAAAATATAAAAATAATAAAGTAGCAATAATAATAATAAACAAATATTAACAAAAATAAATAAACATTACAGTAAAAAAATACAAAAAAGTGTGAGAAACAATATACTGGTCCAGTATGTATGTTGTGTTGTCAACAGTAAGAGAAACAATTGAGACCCTGCAATTGTGTGTAAATGAAGCAGAAAGTCAGATCATCAACCTGGGACTTGGTCACAATTTTTTCGTGATGCCATAAGGCAGCAGGGTCTACCATTAGACAACACATTATGCTTCCAACACCTTCCCAGGAAGTACCTACAACCTTGTAAGAGCTCTATCAGACCTACTGCCTTGAGAGGGCAACCTCAGCCAGATGAATGTGATGGGGAGTGATGAAGTGGTAAAGCATGATGTACCACCTTCCCTCTTCTCTCCCATTCTGAGCATACACAGTCATGCGAGCTGCCTGGTAGAAGGCATCTAGCTGCTACAACAACAACAACAACAAAAATAATAAAAAATAAAAAATAAATAATTTTTTTTTAACCTTCATGCATGAGCTGTGTGAGGAACAGTGCCAGATAAGTATTGGAGATCAGCTCAGGTTGTGAGAGGAGGCTATTCAGGTTGAACCACTGATGGCCCAGTTTCCGTACTGTCAGCCAGTGTTCCTTGAAGTTACAAATATATGCCTGTTGTTCTCTGTAAGAGGAAAATCCATGTTACAAGGCTGAAACAAAAGGGCTCTACCTAACCTAATTCAACTTAGTCAAATTTACTCTAACCTGCCCTAATAAATTGTTTTGTCTTGAATGTTACAATCTAATCTATCCAATCCAAGTCTAATCTCACCTAACAGTACTTTTTGGATAAATGGATATTCTAAGACATATTTAATCAGTAAAATTGTTGTACAAGTTTACCTATATTCAGTACAGTATATAATTTTGGCATAAAGTTCAGCAAGTAAACTGACAGTCCAAACATACAGTGTACTGAACATAGACCATGCAAGAATATAAACAATGTACTCTATAGTGCCAAGACAGCAGGGGTATACAAACAATAGTGTAAGAGTAAGGCAATTTGACCATCAGATACTTATTTTCAGTGAAACAACTAATTATCCTCCGGCTCACATTGGATTGTCCCGTGCCGCTCTTGCTAAAGCATTAGTGGAGGCATATGGCACCAGAGTGAGATCCCATACTCGCAGGGCGGAGGTCAGCACCTGGACGCTGAACATACCGCTGTCGTCCATGTTCACTGAGGGTTGCTGAGAAACAACACTTTTATTAACTTTTTGTAATTCTTAATTCACTATCTAATTATACATGATGTTTACATACATAACCCTCACCTATGGGATTATTAACTTTACTTAACCAGGTTTTGCTTAGCATCGGGGGTACCTTTTATGAATGTACGGTACTGTCTGTATCTGTGGAGATAATTACGGATAATCTTTGTCAGCACAGTGCCATCTCTTTCTATCCTGTGACCTGGAAGCCAGTCTCTAAAACCTAATTACGCCTGTCACTAATCATGCAACATACCTCCATAAACCGTCTAAATTCATCAGTGTGCATGCCCAACTCGGCCATGTGACTCTGTTCAGCTTGGTCCATCTGCTGTGCTATGTCTGCCAGATCTACAGCAGTGAAGTACTGACCCTGGAGGAGGTTGTTGAGACAATGTTGGCCACACAACAGCCCATCTTGCTGTAATAATACAATACAGTGAGCTGAAAGTAATAAAATGCAAAAATTCTGTTCAGGCATTTTTGGAATTGTTCAAAACCTAAATTACAAAATTGTGTAGCCAAATAAAAATAAGTATGGTTATGTTTGGTTAACTTTGACTTCAGTTAGGTTTTCTGTATTTTGGAAATAATTTAATACTGTAACTGTACTGCACATGTGCAATGTATCTCATACTCCAGTTTCAAAATTGCTCTGCCTTTGTCCACTCTTGTAAGATTCCAAAAGTGTCATCAGTACTTGCATAAAAAAAGGTAGACTTCCTTTTCTGGCAGCTAACCAAATACACTAATTAGATATTGGATTATGAAAATGCAAAGACTCTAAAGTGACCAAGAGATCAAGAATAGTGATGACCTTAACGGAAAAAACAGTTTTAATGGACAAGCTCAGAGGTGGTATGAGCTATGGCTCGAGATGTGGTGAAGACTGACAATTCATTTGTGTCTTTTGTCAGAATACAAGTCTTCAAGTGGAGGAATGTGGGTGGAAGAGGACTGGCTGGCTGGTGTGAAGGCGGGCAGACGCCGGGACAGCAGGGAGAGGCTGGCAATGCGGGTGTTGCCGACCTCAGCGAAATACGGTAAAACATTTTTTATTTACTTGTAAATAATTTTTTTTTGTATATACTGTAGCTGTGTTTACGTTTTTCCAGTATTATACTACAATATGATTAGTTTCAAATAATGATGTTAATAAATGCCGGCACAGTGCATCAGTGTGACCACTGGGCCGTGAGTGGAGAGCACGGAGTGGTTAAGTGCATGACCTACCTGAGCTGTTTGGTGGCCACAGGTACAGTGATTCCTAAAAGAGTATTCGCGGTTTTGGCTGTTCGCGGGGGTTTCAGGAACATAATTCCCGCAAACAACACAGGATTACTGTACTTATCTTTTGATGATTTTAAGTATATTAAAAGAAACGACTACTTTCTATTATGATTTTAATTATTTTATTTTATTTTTTCATTTTTTTATTTACTCTATCCCACTTCACAATTCTCCTCCCGGCACCATTTTTGTTGTTTTCCTCGCTGACTCCCTCTTCAAGAGACATTTCCTATAATTGATGGTAAACGCTTCCATGAATTCCTCCTCGCCATTGCTGATGTATATCAACCTCAATATTAAGGCAAGTTGTTAACACATAAATTAACACGATAATGCACAGAACCTGACCTAACAAACCCAACCTATGGTTATGTTTGGTCAGGTTCTATTAGGTTCTCTGCATCGTCGTTTCCATTTTTGGGCATAATTTTACTTGAGGAAATAGCGCACCCAGAAGTTATGAACTACTGAAACATTTAGATCTCGCTATTCTGAGCATTTTGAACTCCATATATACATGGCGGAAATGGATAATAGCGACACAATTGAATTTAATTGATTTTACGTAGTTTTAAATCTATGCGAGATGTTATCGGCGCATCACGCATGCGCAATATTGACTGACATCATCCAGTTGTGACCAATGATGTACCGATATCATCACGCGAATTTTTTTCGACCAATCACATTTGATTTTTTTCAAAGGAAGCAGCCTGGGTAATTTCATTGGCCAATCTCACAATGGCCATGGTGGAGGTTGGTTGTCATTTGTGCTCCTACAATTATTTTAAGTTTATTGACGAGTTTTACGAGACGCTCATTCTATCCAATTCTTACGTATCACTGGTCCTTCCACTTCTAACTAAGGTATTGTACTTTCGGACATGGAGCGCCCCAAAGTTTTAACTACTGAAACATTAAGGTTAGTTTAAACTAGGCCTACTGAAAGTCTGGGGGCGGAGCCCCCAGCTATGGGTTGGGTTAGGTTAGGTTTTGTTAGATTAGATGACTCGTTTTCGTTTTCTCTCCCACGCAAAAACCCCGATTTCCCAGACTCTCCTCCTTTATTGTTGGGGGCGTGCAATTTCCACCCAAAATGACGGTCAGATTCGTTTAAAACACACAAAAATACACTGGAAAAACATATTGGTCAACCCCTAGGGACTCATATGTCTTCAAGTAAAAATGTACCCATTTTTATGTTTAATATCATACTAGTGTGTAGAAAAAAATTCAACCAATTCGAACAATTCCTTCTGGTGGTGGCCGTTACCAGAGTACCTTTACCAGAGTACCTTTACCAGAGTACCATTACCAGAGTACCTTTTCTTTTAGTTAACATCACATCGACTGTAAAGACTGTTAGATAATGGGAGGGTGTACAAGCATGCAATGGCAAGTAAAAACACAAAAAAAAAACACCTCTACTGTATAAACAATGGATCAGACTAAACCGATAAGGGGACAGAGGTAATTAATTAAACATATCTACTATGAGAATATTGGGTGTGTTTCAGGTAAAGGTTCATTATGGTCCTGTACCTTCTCGTGATACACCAACTCCATGGCTGTCACTGACCACAACCTCTACTGACACCTTCCCCAAAACTTCCTCCTCATTAACCAAATTTAAATCTAATTTTTCTAAAACCCTTTCGCTCAAGTTTCAATATATAAAACACTCCCTATTTTTCTACTATATGCTAGGATATGGATAATTACAGAGGAATTTTGTGGTATTTAAACTGTGAATGTTATCTTAGTTTTAGACAGAATGAATCAACTCATACCAGGGCGAATGTTTATGGGAGTGACGTCATGGATATAAACCAATCAGATGATAGAACTCTCAACTCACCCACCAATCAGAGGTGGTCTATCTGGTAGCCATTTTTAAAACTCCACTTTGAAAAGACGACAACGAGCAGACAGATGGCGAGGTGGTGGGTGGACCTTTAAATATATCCTAAGACAAGTGAGTAAGTTGTTTCTGTAGCCTGTAATACATTGAAGGATCCTCAGACTGGATCCTAAGAGTGAATTTTAACTAACTGGGAAAACTATATCCAGCTCCTCTCAATCCCCATGAAACTTTGTTATAGCTGCTATCAATTATAATTACGTAGTGGATATTTTGCCGTGACTGGCTAAGTTCCTACTAGCGTTATGTTACCGTGAGTGCAATCTGATTGGCTAAGAACTTTGTTTATTATGACGGGGTCTGTCCCCCGGCTAGGAGGTTAGGTAGGTTAGTTCAGGTTCTATTATGTTCTAGTAAATGTCATCTCTGGACAAAATTAACAAAATCCAACAACTTCTGACGGTAGTGGTGTTCTCAGACATTACTGTAATTTTAACCTTTTTACAAGTTAGTAGTTAAGTGAGGTTTTCAAGGGCTTGTTTGATGTTCTTTGTAGTATTTTATCCCACATTTTCCCTCTACTGCCCACATTGAACAACCAATATTGTTGGTTATTGGGGAGATCTTATCAGTTAAAATAATACAGTACTCGAAAAATATAAATTTGCACTGGAAACGTAATAGAATATATATATATATATATATATATATATATATATATATATATATATATATATATATATATATATATATATATATATATATATATATATATATGTATATATCATGTAGGTCCACAATGGAAACGTGGACAGGATTAATCTCGATAAAATCACACAGGTAAAAGGGAAACGCTGGAGCACCTTAGCTTCTGTCTTTATTCAAGACCTAAAACGAATTTTTACTTCTGTTTTTGTTAGTATTTTCCCTGCACAACAGAAGTACAGGCAGGTGTGCTTATAGCTCCATGACGATCAACTCACGGTGAAATAAATGCTAAAGGCCACCAGAGTCATGGTCAAATATGGTTCTCTCATTGTTCACCGGTAATGGACGATTAACCAATCGGAGTGCACTCGCGGTAAAATAGCATTAGTCGGAACTTAGCCAGTCACAGCAAAATATCAACTGCCTAATAATTAAGAACAAGGGTCCAGGTTATTGAGTTACCTCACAAAAATTATCAATAGAAAAAAAACTAATTTCTTACCTCAAGATCATATTAAATCAGGTGGAGGAATATTACTTTTGGTACCGGTATTCAGGTTTTCCACGGATTTTCCTCTAAATAAAGATGCTGCCACTTGCCTCCTTCACAATGGTGCCATATTTATGTGTCTGTCATTGGTGTTTGGCATTAACAGGGAGTGAAGATTATGGGTCCTAAACTGGATGAATTTGAGGTGCAATCCACCATCGGCAGTGGAGCTCATGGGACAGTGCGGAAGGTGAGGCGTCAGCAAGATGGGCAGATCCTTGTGTGGAAGGAGCTCAACTATGGTGCCATGAGTGAAGTTGAGAAACAGGTAATTTACAATATTTAGTTACTGTTATATTTAGAAAACATAGTCCAAGTGGCTTAAACTCCTGGGGGTATTAAGTACTACAGTAAAATGTTGTATTATAGAGAAGATGGGGAATAGGCCTCATTTTATAGACAGCTACATAAACACAGCTGAAAATAAGCAAAACCACTAGAACCAGAAACTCTCTAAAACAGACAAGTCTTATTTTTACAAGAACACTACTGTATACTGTGCAGTATAATCCAAAGCTTGTTAATAAAGGAAGTGTTATTAAAGGGAAGATGCTTATTCTGCTGTAATATTTCCTGGAGGAAAAAAAGGTTTTGTGATTACAGTACAGTAAGTATTGTCATTCCACCGCAGGGGTTGGTATTGGAAGTGAATCTGTTAAGAGAGCTACATCACCCCAACATAGTTAAATTCCTCCATCACATAGTGGAGAGACGCTCCACCACACTCTACATCTTGATGGAATATTGCCCAGGTGGTGACCTAAAGCATCTCATTTCCAAATGTCGTCAGACTTCCACTTTCTTGGAGGAGGGGTTCATCTGGAGAGTTCTCAAACAGGTTGGTGTCTGTTGGTTATTTAATTTAATCATTGATCTAAAAGGCTCCAATTTCCAGACATTCATCTCTGACCTTATAGGAAATTGTCTCCAATTTCTCAAATATATATATTGACCATTATCACTTAACCTCTATACTTCTTCTCCATCCATACAGAAATTGTTCATTGTCTTAACATACTACAGTAGGCCATCCAAATTTGCAGGGGTTAGGTTCTCAAAATGGCCGCGAATCGCCAAATCCGTGAATGTATATTCCCTTTATGTGTTTGCTCTTAGGACAATAGGACAATTATTTATTTGACCTGTGATTTACTTGCATATATATATGCAAGTATATATGTGTGTGTGTGTGTGTGTGTGTGTGTGTGGGGAGACACAAAACACATACAAATAAATAATAATGGGAAAATCCTCTCACAAATAATCAGAAACAAATTTATTAAAAATGTGAGTCTACCCTCAAGTCTACTCCGTGCTTTGTTATTAATAGAGCCCACCCGGGCACAGGTCACCGACCCACACTGGGGGCGGGGGGGAATGTACTAATAGTAATAATAATAATAATTCATAGTAAATAACATTTAATATAAAAAATACACAAAAATAAAATAATAATGATAACAATAATACTACCCATACTAATAATAATATTAATAAAATAATAATAATGATAATAAAGAAATACAAGAATGAAAAAAGATAAAGAAGTGAGAAACATGATCAATATCTATGAATTATTATTATTATTATTATTATTATTATTATTATTATTATTATTATTATTACTATTATTATTATTAGTACATTTTCAACCCCCAGGCCCCAATGTGGGTCAGTGATCTGTGCCCGGGTGGACACAGATCACTGACCATTCTGAAATCCTAAAAATTCCGAAATCCGAAACACATCTGGCCCCAAGGATTTCGGATAAGGGATTATCAAGCTATGTGTTTTGTGTGTCTACACACACACTCATATATACAATACAGGTAAAGGAAATTACTGTCTCTAGAATGAATGGCTCCCTGTCCCAGCTGTGAAAATGCCGACAACTTTAAAACTACCCACAGACATTCTTGGATACATCCAGGGTGTCATCCGCGAATAATAGAGAACCCCGAAATAAAAATCTGTGAATTATCTGGGTGTACTGTACTGTACTTTAGTTTTTATTTGATATGGTTGTTACAGATATGTGAAGCTTTAAAAGTCTGTCACACGAGGCAGCTAAGGGGTGGAAGAATCATCCTTCACCGAGACATCAAACCAGCAAATGTTTTCCTGGATGCAGAAGGAGAAGTCAAGTTGGGGGACTTTGGCTTGGCCAGAACACTGAACTCTGAGGCCAGCTTTGCTACCACCTTTGTTGGAACACCTTACTACATGAGCCCTGTAAGTCATCCAGGTTATCCCATTTATATGTTCAGTGTTTACAGGAAGAGATGCTTATAAAGTTGAGCCTGAACTCTCTCTTAATATCTTAAATACGGTATTAAAATCTATACAGATGGTAATATCTCCATTAGCCGGAACAATTGGTGCACAGCACTTCCGGGAATGAGAGATTTCCGAGTAACGAGACGACTCTCAAAACCGGAAAAAATCCCCCATCCCCTGAATTTTCCCCAGAAATTTTTTTTGGAATTTCCGGAAAAATGACCCTGATCTTCATCTCTCAAACTTGGAATAAAAATCCCCCATCTCTAGAATTTTCCGGGTACCGGGAAAATGTTCTCGTAATTTTCCGGAAAATGTACCTTTCTTAAAATTGTTCCCAATGCCAGAATTTTCCGGAAAATTCTGACTTTGGGAATGATTTTCCGAGAAAATTTCATTTCCGGCCATCATAGAGTTCCGGTTAAAGAGGGATTCCAGCTAACAGAAATATTACTCCTTTTTTTTTTTTTTTTTTTAACTAATGGCTAACTGTTTGTTGTCATAGATCTTTCCTCTCACCTTCTAGAATGTAGATGTACTGTACCGGTATATTGTTCCAGTGTCCCAAGCTTCTCCCCCTTGTTCTTTGGTTCTTGACTTTTTTGAACCTCATGGTCCACCTGCTACATGTTTTGGAAAGGGTTAAAAATTGATGGAACATTTTTTAATCCAATGTTAGTTCTTACATCAACTACAGTACACTGTATTCTGTACATGCTCCCATCTTATGCCTAAAGTAGTGTACTGGACACTAGTCAGATGTACTTCACTAATATTTAGACACATCCTATTAAAGTAAAGAGAAAATTGAAAGGTTTTGATTTTCATGAGAGGAAGAGCAACAGATTTAAGAGTACTGTAGCTGGTGAAGCTATTACATGGCTTTAAAACATTGTGCTAGTTATTTTATTTTAGGCATAACTGTTTTATTTTATATTAATATTAAACGATCATTGAGTAAGAATAAAATTTAAGTTTAGTTTCAAACAGTTGTACAGTACAGGTATTGTATTATTGAAATGGTGTTATGTACAGTATTTTTATCTGTCTTAAAATGAATGTTTATATCCAACAGGAAGTGATAGAAGGTCAGGAATACAATGAGAAGTCTGACATGTGGTCACTGGGATGTTTGGTGTATGAGCTGTGTGCCTTACATCCACCTTTCCAAGCCACCACACACAAGCAACTTGCTGCTAAAATCAGAGAAGCCAGGTCAGTCAAGAGGGTACTGAGCCATTTCTTTCTAATAGCCACCCCCTCCCCCCTCCCCACCACCAAAAAATAAATAAATAAAAATAAGGCAATCATGGAAAGTTACCAAGGTGGGCAGTGCTAGGGACTAATATCTACAAGAGAACCTTTCAAGTGCACTACCGGTAGTTAGAACTTTGTCATATTAAGGGTGAGGAATCCAGAACTGTTTCTGGTTTTCTGAAATTTTTTAAAAAAATTTCCCACCTTTCATGTTACTTTTTTATACTTTTTTACTTGTGTACAAAGAAATGTATACAGTATTCCCTTTATGTGTTTGCCCTTCGGACAATTATCTCTTTTTACCTGTATTGTATATGTGTGTGTGTGTGTGTAGACACACACACACACACACACACACAAAACACATACAAATAAATAATAATAATGGGAAAATCCTCTCACAAATAATAAGAAACCAATTTATTAAATATGTGAGTCGATATAGTTAGTTACAGCCTTGAGTCATTTATGAAGTACTTTGAAGTCAGGTTCATCTAGGAATTGATTTAATTAAAAGGAATACCAAATACCCCAAGAATAGTTTTGGAGTTAACATCTTAACTTGGTAAATATAACTAACAGTAAGGAGACATAGAATTGGGGCCAAAATTTAACATCAAACACAACACCACATAAGACATAATTAGGGTGATACCAGGCTTGAAATGATTCACAATGCTGTACAATACTTAAGGTTTGGTAGAGGTCTCTGTTAGCACTCAGTTGACTGCTCAGGTCCACAACACACAAGGTCACAAGCAACACCCTGTAAGGGCTCACATGTCTGGCTTCTGGGTGATGCAAAATTCTGGTAGAGACTGCCGGGTAAACCAGCCGGTTCTCTTTATGTAGGGGCAAACATTGGCAGAGGGGGGCAGAGCTCAAGGTGTAAAATGTTTGAGGGTAGTTTAGCTTGTTGAGTCAGAGCAGCTCACAAGGATGGAAGTTTTTACACAGGATATTGGCTGGCCCATCCTTACAGGCCCTTGCTATAACAATGTGTGTGTGGGGGGGGGGTCCCCTAGATATTATTAATATCTTTAAATGTCATTGTTTTCTTGAGAAATCTGATTGCGTGAATTACTTATTCAGTTGTCACTTTCAACAGGTATGAACGCATTCCTATTCAGTACAGCAGTGCACTGCAGGAAGTTTTAGGTCTCCTTCTGACTTATGAAGATTTCCTACGACCCACTGCCCTCATGGTTCTTCACCACTCTGCTGTTGTTGCTCATACATCAAGTAAAAATCAACTTGATGATGACCCTCTGTTTCACTCTCTGAGCCACAGTGTCCTTTTAGGTGCTGGAAAAAACACTTCCAAGAAATCAGAAGTTACAGAGGATCCTGAGGTAAAGAGGAACAGTGACTCAAAAGAGAGCAGAAAGATGGAAGTCGAAAAAGATGGAAATTGCGAGAAAGTAACTGAAATTTCAGGGGAAACCATTTCAACCAAAGAAAACAATTGTTCTAACAATAGTAGGAAACTTCAGACAGTGGAAATATACAACAAAGATGAACCACAAATAAATAATTTCAGAGATCAAACTATCTCTCCAATGACTGAAACTTACAGTGTTACTAAAGCAGAAATTTCATGTAAGTGTGACAGCAGAGAGAAACAAAGGTCCTCTGTGCATCAGAATAAACTAGTCAGTAACCAGAGTGAAGTTCATGTATCAGTGAACAACCTACCTCATGAGAACAATGTCCAACTTTTGAAGAGAAAAGAACACACAGAAGCTGGGTTAGAGGACACCATAGAAAAGATTTGCCGTGCTGCAAAAGAAACTGGACACTTGCCTCACAGAGGAAGTAAAACCCTTGAAGGAACTTGTGATTTAAATCTGGCCAAACTAGAATGTGCTTGTGGAGGCATGTCAACAAAGGTGTGGCGAGAGCGATTTTTGGCACTACGAGAAGCTGAGTTGGCAGTCAGGGAGCGTGAAGTGGCTCTAAGGGAAAAAGAACGTGATGTGAGTCATCGAGAGCACCGCGTGGCAGCCATGGAGAAAGAGGCACGTCAGCATTTAGTGCGTGCTCAGATTTATTTGAGACAGTCTAGACCTCGGCAAAATGCTGCAACATCACCACATCGTCCTCCTTCTGATATGGACACTACGATGAGTGCTGACCCTGGTGATGATGATGTCACAACCACCACAAAGCTTGATCCTCAACGGATTAGTAATCCTTTTCTTAAGATGAGAGGGATACAACCTCAACCTGAGAAACGAGTGTCCTTTAAAGAAAAACCCATCAAATTTAAGAGCAACACACTTGATAACCCCAAAAGTAGACGAAAAAGAGGCAACATTTTTAGGTTAGCAGAACCTAAGAAAGAAAATACAGATAAAGTTCATGATGAGATTATCTGTAAAATTCCTCTTCAAACTCTATCTAGTAATGACATTAGTACACATCAACAAGGTCAAAAGTTAACCTTGCCATCTGATCAAAAGTCACAAGATTCACCACTTCCACCAGCTTCTCACCTAAATCCACAAAAGACAATTTCTGAAACCACAAACAGTCAGAAGTCACTTATTACTGGTAATCTCCAAGAGCGACCAAGAAGCACTGAAAGCCTCAACAAGAAGTCGCTAGAAGCTGGGTCAGACAAGGAGAATGTGGGACGAGGCACAAAACCCAAGAAGGTGCCTGAAATTAAGCCCGGGTTTTGGAGTAGAAGGCCAGGAAGTAGGGTGGTTGAGCGGACAGGGCGACGAGAACGTGACACGACCAGATCACAAAATCCGGTGGTGCGGTTCTATAATATGGTGTGATATTTAATTCTTGTCTGTGTTTAATATGTGATAACAAAAACTCGAGTCATTGTAGAATTAGTTTTCATAAGAGCAAATACTGCAGTAGGGTGTATGAATGAGTTTACAGTATATATCATGTGTAATAGTTCCGGTATTCAAGACAATGTGAGAGGCAGATTGTGTTTGTATCTACTTATATAAAAGATGACATTTCCTACGACAAGTTGAGCAGCCCCTCCATTGTGATACTCTCCTTGTGCACACCTCTTATGACATTTTATTTATGCCAGTTCCATAATAGACCTGATTAATCTTTATATCCAGCATTATCAATTAACACTTCCATCCATCCAAAAATTAATGTCTTGTCAAACTGTACCCTGATATGGAGGAAGGAGTACATAGCAAAGGCTTTGTTTGTTTATTCCATACCCTTTGTACAGAACATCTCAAGACTGAATGATTGGATATTGACTGAAACCACAGATGGTACAATTGAAATACTAAAACTCATTTGAGGTTCTAATGTTTTCACAAGATGTATGGCTGAAAGAATGACAAGGTGTTATGAAGAAGTGGGACAAGATAAGTTGAAGATGATTGATGTTAATACAGTACAGTGGAGAGTAGACAGAATGGCTGGAGATACTATTCAGTTGCTATGGTCTAGTAATATGAAGCAGAATGACTAATACTTCATTGGCAAGGTGAAGTTATGTATGAAAATGGGTAGGTTAATTATTGCAGTACAGTATTATGACTAAGAACTTCCCAAGTTTCAGATGAACACGAGTGGATGATTGATCTACAGTATTTAGTTCATTTTGAGTACAGGTTGGGTATCCCTTATCCAAAATGCTTGGGGCTTTAAGGGTCTTGGATTTAGGAAATTTTTAGATTTTGGAATACTGTACAAGTACCTATATCCTGTATACTGAACCTGTAGCTCACCCAGCAGGGATGGGGCCCCAAGTTTACATGTTTCACTGCCATTATCTGATGAAAGATCAGCAAAAATAATGAAAGTTTTCCATACTTTATGCACTACATCCTTAGTGTTTTCAGATACAGTAATTATTGTCAACCACAACCCCATATTCAAAACATGTTACTATAGTAGTAAAGGTCTACCTCACCCCCATCTTATTCTATCCATAGTTCTAGATTTGTTTCAGTATTAAATATATATTGATGAAAATACCTCTTAAGATTGTGGTTGGGAGAAGTTCTTAGAATTAATTTTATGTTTGATAATGTGCCTTGTGTTGCATAGTTTTTACCATGTAGTGTATTATTGAAAGCAGTGTGTGCTACCAGGGTACCTATTCAGATTTTAGAAATGAGTTAAAATCAAGTATTTTTGTATTTAGCCTTTGTTTTTCTTCAATATTAATTACATTGTTTTAATTTTACAAGCCAAGCAACTTATCATGACTTTCAATCCTTATAGTGACTGCAAATAATTTTAAATCACTTGAACATGGTCGGCTTTTTTATGACATGCTCAAAAGTTTTTAAAATTACTTGACAGTTTATTACTGTACTTATATTCTGATGGCCATGTTAATATGAAATACATATGACTACATTATTATAAGTTATTTCTTGTGTCAGTGAGTATGACTTTTTTTAACATCACAGAATAGTTTAATTATATTCTTCATATATAAAATAAAATGTTACCAGTCATTATTGAAATAGTTTTTTTTTTTTTGCCACCAACTTAACATAAATTAGAACACGAGATTAATGACAACAAAAGACTACGTTAAGAGGTACCTGCAAAAAAATTAATCGTTGAGTAGCAGAGAAAAATAAAGTAATGTAATGTAATAGGTGCATAAGAAAAGTATGGACAAAGAGCTGTTAAAGGAAGTAAAATTAGAAATGTATGGAGATAGATCTGCTGTCTTGACATTATCTGGGAATGAAACTTGAACTTTGGCTGCAAAATGAAGAACCAAATTAAAATGACAGAAATACAGTAATGTATTTGGGAACAGTGTGAGTTGAATAAGATACAAGGAAAATGAAATGGAGGTGGAAACAATAGAAGTGTTAGACATATAGTTAACCTTGTGATGTAGGTGCAATAAGAGCATGAGTGAAAGAATGGATGTACATGTTGTTATGTGGCAGGTAAAGAGAATGACGAGTATAGGCTGAAGTGAACTGAAATGAGAAAGGTAAGATGGATGTGTAATGTGACATTGAAAGATAGGAAACCCTGTTCAGAGCTAGTGAGGTTTTGTGTAAGAGTAGGATGAGTTGGTTCAGGCACGAGAATGGAGACCAATTGTGTCAAAAGATTTAGTCCACAAGGCGAGGCCAAAATTGAGGTCGAACCTGTTAAAAAATTCCCATAGAAATGATCTTATTGCAGAAATATGTCCTGAATCACATAGTATTTAAAGTCCCCATCAAGAACAAGGTCCTTGTGGCATGGTTGGTAGCGTTCCCTGGTCACACGCATAAGGTCTAGGGTTCGAGCCCTGGCTGGTGAGGTTGTTGATTATATGTATAATGTGTGTGTGTGTGGGCTGTGCATATGTGTGTGTGTGTGGGCTGTGCATACTTGTGTATATGTGGGTGTGAGTGTGTCCACTTTCTCTTTACAGTACATAATGCACATCATTTTATCTCTCTTGCTGTCTGACTATATCCATTCATCTCTTTCTCTTGATCTATGGGTATATCTTTATATCTCTATTTCTGTCTGTCCGTGCATTCATTAATTTGTGTCTCTCTGTCTGTCTGTGTATCTATAAATTATGTCTGCCTGTCTGTCTGTCTCCGTCTACACTTAAAAACACCATTTGTTCACATCCGGGGACCAAACAATAAATTCTGCAGCTGAACGGAAAAGTTTCACCAGCTATCGCGCCTTAAAAAAAAAGTATTTATTTTTATTTCCAATTTCGCTTGTTATTCATAATTTGGGTAATTTTATTATCACCGAAATAATTAGAAATATGTAATTTAGACGTTTAATACAAAACAAATATATTAACTATTTTGAAAGACTAATTTACTATTGATGTTCACGTTTTCACCACGAACAAGAACTCATTTTCTCTTATGTGATTTGGTTTTAAGGAGTAACTTTACTAAGACATTTTCTATACATTTTCTTCAGTAGCAGTGTCTGTTTTTTCTGGTTGTTGAAAGTCTCATTACTTTATCCACACACACAAAGGCAATAACAAAATACCACAAATATTCCAAACAACTCCAATTTACCACATAAAATACCCGAAAAATACTTATAAAACTACAAAAGTAATCGTATAATTGGAGAAAAAATACAATATCAACAAAAAGATAAAAATAATACACTCACAAAATTACAAAATCTCAGTTAAATATACTTACAAAGTTACAAAAATTACTTAAACTCACCAATGTCTGTATTTACAAAATTACAAAAATACTTTATAGATTTACCAAGATAAAAAAAAACATCATGAAAAAATAAACTCACTATACTATAAAATACTCACAAACCCTAAAAAATATTCACAAAAATTTACAGAAACTACAAGATCACAAAACCACACACACCAAAAACTATCCTTCAAATTACATGACAAACATTCAAATCAAGTCACTTCGTAAACCTTCAGTATTTCCTCTCTGAAAATGTTGAAATATTTACACCTCTTCCGCCTGCCGACCTGACTTCCCACAGGTACGACTAACGGCAAGGTAACCAGTCTCCCTGCTAGTTAATCAGCTTACTTTACCTGCCGACGACCCAATTATTTCTTTTTACCTTACTCAGAAATCCCTTAGTCCCAAAAATTAATAAAAAAAAAGTCTGCTGGAACATTAAAGGGATTGACGTAGCCGAAATTAACTTAATCTAATCTAACCTAACCTGGGATTTTAGGGATTACGTGAAATCCCTAATGGTGGGAGGAGGAGGGGGGGGGAACACGTCTTTCACTCCCACTAATTCTCGTGCGAGTTTCAGTTGTCTCAAATTGGTAGTTGTGTTGTGTTGTGTTGTCACCATGTACTCTGTAGTGTTGTGTTGTCACCATGTACTCTGTAGTGTTGTGTTGTCACCATGTACTCTGTAGTGTTGTCACCTTGTACTCTGAGTTAACATTATCAAAGGTTCCTCACAGTAGTAGTCGTTGTGTACAGAGATGGAATAATGTACAATTGGGGACAAAATTCCCTGGACACTTGATAATACCTGGCATCTGCTTCTGGGTCAACACTGCTACTTATCACACACCTGGCATCTGCTTCTGGGTCAACACTGCTACTTATCACACACCTGGCATCTGCTTCTGGGTCAACACTGCTACTTATCACACACCTGGCATCTGCTTCTGGGTCAACACTAAACTCACACTGGCATCTGCTGGGTCAACACTGCTACTTATCACACACCTGGCATCTGCTAACACTGGCATCTGCTTCTGGGTCAACACTGCTACTTATCACACATCTGCTTCTGGGTCAGCTACTTATCTTCCTGGGTCAACACTGCTACTTATCACACCTGGCATCTGCTTCAACACTGCTGGCATCTGCTTCTGGGTCAACACTGCTACTTATCACACACCTGGCATCTGCTTCTCAACACTGCTACTTATCACACAACCTGGCATCTGCTTCTGGGTCAACACTGCTACTTATCACACACCTGGCATCTGCTTCTGGGTCAACACTGCTACTTATCACACACCTGGCATCTGCTTCTGGGTCAACACTGCTACTTATCACACACCTGGCATCTGCTTCTGGGTCAACACTGCTACTTATCACACACCTGGCATCTGCTTCTGGGTCAACACTGCTACTTATCACACACCTGGCATCTGCTTCTGGGTCAACACTGCTACTTATCACACACGTCGGAAACATAAAAATTACAAGAAAACAAAAACATTCCCAGATACAAATACAAGAAAATACGTGAGAATCCTTATGGCCCTCACCTAGTGCTCCTGGAGTGTCCCGTGTATTTTGTTCCCACTGGTTAACATTACCTAAAACACACAAAAATATGTTTAGAAATAACATCAAAATTACATTGAGACTAAATTAACTAGTTACGTTATTAAACAGTTAAGAGACAAAATCAAAGAGGATTTTTTTTTTAGGGCCAAATGGTTGTTGATTATGGTGAACAAATTCTGCACGTCCATATCTTCTCACCCTAGCACACCCACCTCATGACCCAGTTTGTTATATCACCTCTGGCTCTCTGGTCGTATATGTGATCGAAACATGTATATAAAAGCGAGGATGAGGTGAGTGTTTGATCTGGCAGTAATGTTTGCTTTGATTATGGGCGCGGAAATTCCGAGAGGTTGCCAGCTCGCGTTATACACATTTCAACCTGTACAGCGTGTTTAATTTTCACGATATCCGTTTGGGATTCCAGATATTATTGCCTTTTTCCCTTATACTCTTATGGGGCGCGGCGGTATGATGAGCTGGATGATGGCTGTGCATGAGTTGATTTATGTGAGGCAGGAGCGCAGGCTGCAACCACACATCTTGGCTCTCCCTTTTCCTGAGCCAGTGGTGCAAGTGTTGCAACGACTGGGGAGAGGGAGCGTTGCAATGGACCGCCGATAGCCCAGTTTAATGGGTTTCGCCTTAGTAACCTATCCATCATGCATTGCCTTTGTCCGCCGGTGTAGTTGTGGTCACCTGTTCCACCTATACCGCCGTTGGGGTCTTGTTGGAGCTCTGTAAGCATGTCTGCCTGCTGCGGGGCTCCACCACAGATTTATCGTTCGGGGTTTACTCCCATAGCCTTATGCCTACCAAGGTTAATCCACAAGGCAGCATGGCAATGGTTGGTAGGCACCAAGACGTGTCCACATGCCAGTCGGCCTATGCGCCGTCCCTCTGGGGCCCACTGCTACTCCGAGATCCCCTGCTGGTCTAGCCTGGGCCCACGAGGCTCCCAGTTACCGTGTGTTGCCACGTGGAGGCACAACAGGATTCTTGATGGTGAAGAGGCTGTGTACTGGCAGGGGAAGACTTATTCAAGTTGCTTTCCTGTTCGCCACGAGGGCTAGCTATGGGCGGTAGCTGAAAGCGAGAGGGAGCAAGCAGTGCCTACACCGAACATAATGCTGCCATACTAGACGCATTTCACCACCGTGTGCGCTGACACACACACACACACTCAACAACAGGGTGACGGCAGGTGTGAGGAGGAAGAGAGGCGGTGGGGGAACACCGTGTAAATCATTATTGATAACCTGGCGGACAGAGAGGCAGGTGTAGGTGTGTAGGTCAGATCCTGTAACCTGACCTAGCAGCAACTTCACTCACTTTGCCTAACCTTTACCTAACACCTGTAACCTGACCTAACTAACCTACCTTAATAATTTGTGGATGAGAATCGTACGCTCATTGTTTATTAGAGTAGTGAAATAACACAATTAGGAACTTCTTGTTCACTGCCAATAGATAAGAGAGATAGGGGAGAAGAGAATGGGAGGAAGAAGAAAGAAAGAAGAAGAAGAAGCTATACCTATCTTATACACCTCTTAAACACTTGGACGGATTCTTGCTTGTAGGAAGTGTTTGAAAATTGCCTGTTGCTGATTCTCTCCCCCTCTCTCTCTCTCTCTCT